CTGTGTTATCACATGATGGAAAGGGTCAGCTAGCTCTCTAGGGCCTCTTATAAGGGCACTAACTCCATTCATGACGGCTGCATCTCATGACCTAATGCCCCTCCCAAAATCCCCACCTCCAAATGCCATCATCTTGGTGTTTAGGATTTCAACATGGGAATTTTGTAGGGCCACAAACATTCTGACCATAGCAGGGAGAGTTCCGGAGAACTGTTTTCAGACCACCAGTGAAAGGAAGAAAAGCCATAGAACCAAAGACCCTAGAAAGTCTCCTTCCCTTTCTTCATTATGTACTTTCTGTGTTAGTTCCTCATTGTGTTACCAGCAATAGAGATGACTTTGGCTTTAGAAAACTGGGCTAGCATCCCAGTGCCACCAAACACTTGCAGTGACCTTGACAAGTCTCTTTACCCCTGTTAGGCCCAGTTTCCCATTTGCTGAGTGGATATACAGAGGCCTGCCCTGCCCACCTCCGAGGGTGGCTGTGACACTGAAAGGAAATGTGCAGAGCTGAATTAGTGCCAGCTTCACAGCATGGACGTTTCCTGGGGGAGTTGTGCAGAGTCGGAATGGAGGTGTGCAGTCCCTGAGGACAGGTCTTTATGAGTGACAGCTCTGAGTCCAATGGAGGATTTCCATCTCATCCCACCATGAGCATGAGCAAGGGTCACCAGCTAAGCTGTCAGAGCCATCAGAAGCTAATAAGGCGGTAGAGAGCACTGGTTCAGAGGGTGGGCTCGAGCCAGAATACCTGGCTCTCCCTAGCTGCGTGACTCTGGGAAGACATTTAACATCTCCAAACCTCAGTTTCCCTATTTGCAAAATGGAGATAATAACAACATCTATCTCAATAAATTTCTTTGAAAATTAAATAAGAGAGGAGTGGAGTGCTTAGCAAAATACTTGGCACAAGTATTTTGGTACATGAGTGTTGAGTACAAAAAGTGTTAAATACAAAATACTTGGTCCATGGGTGTTAGCTGCTGTTATTATTATTATATTTGACTGCATGGACTAAACTGAGGTCGGTGCTTTCTGGGTGCTCAGAGGGCCTGTGCTGGAGGGGCCTGAAAGACACAGGCTAGTTAGTTACTGAGCAAGTGGAAGAATGAATTAAGTGGATAAACAGATGCAGTCAATGAATAATGCATTGACACTTGTACATGCCATGGGCAGGAAATGTACGTCTGATTGGATTGTTCTGCTTCCTGTGTGCTCTCTGAGGTGCAGGGATAGGGCCGGTCGCACAGGAGTTCATATGCTGCCATGTCCTGTAAAACAGACAGAATTAAGACTCTGTTTTGCCTCACAGTTCTCTCTTGGGTCCCTCGAGGGAAAGAGGAGTGACTCTGACAGTAAAGCTTTTCATACTGGCCATCTGGCCACTTCCAGCCCTGACTCACATTCATCTGTATGTATATTCTCAACACCAAACCCCTCCTCCCCAATGTGCTCCCCCTCCCCCACCTTAATCTTAAATGAAAATGAAAATGAGGCTGCAGGAAAGCTGCTGTGCTGTTTCATTGAAAACAAAGGTCCGGTTGGCAACAGCTCGCAGTTCCCTGGCTCAAGTGATCCTCCTGCTTCAGCCTCCAGAGTAGCTGGGACTATAGGCGTGCACCACCATACCTGGCTACTTTTTAAATTTTTCTGTAGAGAAGTGACCTCACCATGTTACCATGCTGGTCTTGAACTCATGCAGTCCTTCTGCCTTGACCTCCCAAAGGGCCACTACTCCTGGCCCATGCAAATATTCTTATCCCCCAGCCCCCATGTTTTCTCGTATAAAAGTTGTGCAGGTTAAATAGATAAGGACCTACTTGTTTTACTTAAGCATATACCTTGGAGATATTTCCATAGTATTCCATAGACAGCATCTTCATTCTTGTTTCTTATTAGTTGCATAGAATTCTTTTTCCTTTTCTTTCTGTTTTGTCCTTCCGTCACTCCCTCCCAACTCCCACCCTTCTCCCATCTTTCCTTCCTTCCTTCCTTCTTTCTTTTTCTTTCTCTTTCTTTCCCTCCCTCCTTCCCTCTCTCCCTCCCTGCCTCCCTTCCTCCCTTCCTTCCTCTCTCTGTCTCCCTTCCCTTCCCTTTTCTCTTTTTTTTCTTTTTTCAGTCTCACTTGGTCACCCAGGCTAGAGTGCTATGGTGTGATCACAGCTCACTGCAGCCTCTGTTTCCTACACTCAAGCTGTCTTCCCACCTCAGTGCCCCCCTACACCCCTCCAGGAGCTGGAACTATAGGATAGATATGCACCACCACGCCTGGCTAATTTTTGTATATTTTTGTAGAGACAGGGTTTCACCACATTGCCTAGGCTGGTCTTGCACTCCTGGGTTCAAGCAAACAAATCCATCTGCTTCAGACTTTCAAGGTGCTGATATTACAGGCGTATCCACTGCCCTCAGCCAGAATTTTCATTGTATCTACCAGAATTTATTTAAACCAGACATTCTATTAATGAATATTTGGGTTTGTTCCCATTATTTTGTTCCATGGTGGGCAGATCTTATGTAAATGTATTCCTAAAGGCTGAGGAAACTGACAGACCAAAGAGGCCGAAAAATCCAGTGTCTTACATTTAATAGGGATTTATGAACAGAAGCCGTCATCTCAGCAGGAGATAGTGGATCCTGGGCCATGACCCCCAGACCCAGGGCTTCTGTATCCTAGGGAAAGAATGTGTCGGCCCCTCAGGGAAAAGCAAGAATGCTATGTGAATCTGCCAAAGGGCAGGATTTATGGTCAAGGTGGTTTTGATTTAAGTGGGGGCTTTATGGTGAGTACGTGCTCTTACACAAGGAACAGTAGACAAAATGGAGATCTTAGAGGTATTCCTGGAATTGGGATGAATCAGAAGTCAACATGGTGGATTAGCGTGTAAGATGGAGTGGCTTTAACTTGCACATCTTTGCTATTACAAATATATAATATGATTTATATATATATATATAAGTCTGTGAATAATCTTGCTTTCTTTTATGGTTTTATTTTTCAGTCTATAAGATTGAACGTATGTTGTTTTGTTTATACATGTGTTATGGACTGAATGTTTGTGTTCCCCATCAAATATGCTGAAGCCCTAACTCTCATTATGACTCTATTGGGAGACAGGGCCTGTGAGCAGGTAATAAAGATTAAATGAGGTCAAGAGATCCAAGATGGCTGATCGCTAACAGTTCGGGATTGTAGCTCCCAGTGAAAGCGCAGAGAATGAGAGGACACCACACTTTCAGACGAATTTTCGTCGCTCACGGACCAGAAGATTCCCAGTGGAGGGGCCCCACGGGTCACCAGCGTGACTCTTGTGGCCAGTGCAGCGGTTTTGCCGGCGCCTCGGCGCAGCAGCTCTTCGTGCAGAGTAAACGGAGGAGATTCCTGGGCAGAAGAGTACCATCAGTCTTAACCGCTGTTTTGGCCGGCGCAGTGGGTTGCTCGGATTCCAGCACTGGGAATCAATAAACTGGGCGTCCACTCAGAAACCCAACTAGAAAGGCGGTAATTGTAAAGACGACAGATGGATAAATTTATAACAAAGGGAAGAAACCAGCCTAAAAAGGCTGAGAATACCCAAAATCAGAACCCCTCTCCCTCTACAGGGGATTATAGTTCCTCATCAGCAACTGAACAAGCCCTGATGGAAAAGGACTGTGTGCCATTATCAGAAGTAGGCTTCAGAAGGTGGATGATAAGAAACTTCTGGGAGTTAAAAGAACTTGTTCTAACCCAATGTAGAGAAACTAAGAACTTTGAAAAAAGGTTTGACGAAATGCTAACAAGAAAAGACAATATAGAGAGGAATATAAATGAACTAACGGAGTTGAAAAACACAACACGAGAATTTAGCAAAATATGCACAAGTTTGAATAGCCAAATTGATCAAGCAGAAGAAAGGATATCAGAGGTCGAAGACCAACTTAATGAAATAAAATGAGAAGACAAGAATAGAGAAAAAAGGATAAAAAGGAATGAGCAAAGTCTCCAAGAAATATGGGACTATGTGAAAAGACCAAATTTACGTTTGATAGGTGTACCTGAATGCGATAAAGAGAATGAATCCAAGCTGGAAAATACTCTTCAGGATATTATTCAGGAAAACTTTCAGAATCTAGCAAAGCAGCGCAATATTCAACCCCAGGTAATACAGAGAACACCACAAAGATATTCTGCAAGAAGAGCAACCCCAAGGCACATAATTGTTAGATTCATCAGGGTTGAAATGAAGGAGAAAATACTAAGGGCAGCCAGAGAGAAAGGTCAGGTTACCCACAAAGGGAAGCCTATTAGACTTACAGCAGATCTCTCAGCAGAAACCCTACAAGCCAGAAGAGAGTGGGGGCCGATATTCAACATCCTTAAAGAACAGAACTTTCAGCCCAGAATTTCATATCCTGCCAAACTAAGCTTCACAACTGAGGGAAAAATAAAATTTTTTATGAACAAGCAAGTACTCAGAGATTTTATTACCACCAGGCTGGCTTTACAAGAGCGTCTGAAAGAAGCATTATACATAGAAAGGAATAACCAGTATTAGCTTTTCTAAAAATACACCAAAAAGTAAAGAGCATCAACATAAAGAAGAATTTACATCAACGAATGGATAAAATAGCCAGTTAACATCAAATGGCAGTCACCCTAAATTTAAGTTGACTAAATCCTCCAATCAAAAGATACAGGCAAAACCTAACGATATGCTACATCCAGACTCATTTCACATCCAAAGGTACGCAAAGACTTAAAACAAAGGGATGGAGAAAGATTTACCAACCAAATGGAGAACAAAAATAAATAAATAAATAAAAAGCAGGAGTTGCAATTCTCGCATCTGATAAAATAGATTTCAGAGAAACAAAGATATAGTGGTAAAAGGATCAATGCAACAATAAGAGCTAACGATCCTAACACCCAGATACATAAGACTCATAAAGAGATTTAGACTCAATGAGACAGAAAATTAATAAGGATATCCAGGACTTGAACTCAGATCTGGAACAAGTAAACTCAATAAATATTTATAGAGCTCTTCATTTTAAATACACAAAATATACATTCTCCACCTTAAATACACAAAATATTGATCGGCCATTATTAATACCCATTTTTAGAATAAAGCTACATTCCCGTTTTCTCTCCCTCTTTTTCTTCCTCTTTCTTCCTCTCCTTCACTCCTTTTTTTTCTTTCTTTCTAAAAAAAAAAAAAAAAAGATTAAATGAGGTCATAATACTGCAGTCCTGACCCATTAAGAAGAGCTCACTGTTGAACTCTGGGGCTCAAGCAGTCCTCTTGCATGCCACTATGCCTAGCTAATTAAAAAATTTTTTTTGGAGAGACAGAGCCTTACTATATTGCCCAGGCTTGTCTTGAAATCCTGGCCTCGAGCAATTCTCCTGCTTTGGCCTCCCAAAGTGCTGGGATTACAGGCATGAGCTACCATGCCCAGCCATGTTTGGTTTTTCATTGTCTTCAGTCAAACAGACCCAGTTGGTTTGGTAATGCACATGGCTGTCTGGATTGACACAAGGAAGGCTTGTGTCCGGCTCACTGGGTAAAAGTGAGCAAGTCCCTGAGGCTCACCACGTATTGGCCTTGTCCTAATAAAGGGAAAGGTGCCTGCCTCTTGGACTTTCCCAGGGAGGAAGTTCTGGAGCAGGAGTTTTACCCTAGTTTCTAACCAAGCGCCTGCTAATGGTAGGTAGCTTCCTAAATCACATTTTTTAGGCTTTTAAAAAATTAGTAGACTTTATTTTTAAAAATAGTTTTAGATTTAAAGAAAAATTGAGCAGATATCACAGAGACTTCCCATGTATCCTCCATATATACATAATGTTCCCCATTATTAACATTTTACATTCATATGCCTTGTTATAATCAATGAACCAATATTGATACATTATTATGTACTAAAGTCCATAGTTTCTACCTGATGTCTATTTCTGTTTGAGGATCTCATCCAGGGTACCATAGTATTTACTTGTCATGACTCCTCAGGTTCCTCTTGGCCGTGACAGTTTCTCAGAATTTTCTTGCTTTAATGATCTTGACAGTTTTGAGTAGCACTGGCCAGATATTCTGTAGGAAGCAACTGTATGGGACTTAGTCTGATGCTTGGTTTCATGATTAGCCTGGGGTTATGGGTTTTTGGGAAGAGGACCACAGAGGTGAAGTGCCATTTTTCTCACATCATATCAAAGGCACATGCTACCAACATGCTTTATCACTGTTACTGTTGACCTTGTTACCTGGTTTAGTAGTGTTTATCTGGTTTCTCCACTGTTAAGTTACTCTTACCCCCCTTTCCTACTCTTTGGAAGGAAGTCACTCTGCCCAGCCCACACTTAAGAAATGGAGAGTTATGTTTCCTCTTCTGGAGGGTACAATATCTACATCAATTATTTGGGATTTTCCTATAGGAGATTTTTTTTCTCTTCCCATTTATTCAGTTACTTATATCAGTATGAAAATTGATTTTATATTATTTCTGGTTATAAATCAATACTACTTCATTTTATCGCTTACATTTTTCCAGCTTTGTCCATTAGTAGCTCTTTCAGTTGGCTCCTGCATCCCTTTGACATATCACCATTATGGTAGGGATTTTGTTTTGTTTTATTTTTTAAGAGACAGAGTCTACATTTGTTGCCCAGGCTGGAATGCAGTGGCACAGTCATAGCTCACTGCAACCTCAAACTCCTGTGCTCAAGTGAACCCTCCTGCCCCAGCCTCCTGAGTAGCTGGGACTATAGGCATGTACCACTGAACCTGGCTAATTTTTTAAAAATGTTGGGGCTAGGCATGGTGGCTTATGCCTGTAATCCCAGAACTTTGGGAGGCCAAAGCAGATGGATCGCTTGAGACCAGGAATTTGAGACCAGCCTGGGCAGCATGGCAAAACCCTGTCTCTACCAAAAATACAAAAAAATTAGCCAGGCATGGTGGTACATGCCTATAGTACCTGCTACTCGGGAGGCTGAGGCTGGAGGATTGCTTGAGCCTGGGAGGCAGATGTTGCAGTGAGGCAAGATTGTGCCACCACATTCCAGCCTGGGTAACAGAGTAAGACCCTGTCTCAAAAAAAAAAAAAAAAAAAAAAAAAAAATTGCAGGGGGTAAAATATACATAATTTAGTGTGGTCTTGCTATGTTGCCCCAGTAGGTCTCAAACTCTTGGGCTCAAGTGGTCCTCCCAACTTGGCCTCCCAAAGTGTTGGGATTACAGGCATGTACTACTGTACCCAGATGTATTTTAGATCTTTTAAAAGAATTCAGTTTTGATCACTTCCTTATTTTCTGGTATTTCAAAATACTCCGAACTCATTTGACATATTTTTTGCTGCTGTCCTACTAGAATCAGACATTTCTTCAAAGAACACTAGTTCTTTGTATATTGGACAGTATTAATAGAAACCAAGAGCTGGATGCTAAGTGTACTTACAGCTGCTAGGATGTTAAGTCACATTTTTAATTTGCCGAAAGCGTTTAAGATTGCCTATCTTTCTAGTCTCTTCTCAACTCCCTGATAATTCCTATTAAAACGAACTGGTCACCTCACCGTTTCCCCAAAAGGCCTTGGGAGTTTACTCTTTTTTTGTTTTTGTTTTGTTTTTTTAATCTTTGTCCCTACTTTGTTTAAATCCTTCCTGTCCCTCAAGCCTCAGGCCTCCTTCTGCCAACACCTCCCACCCTACCACCCTAGCTTCCTTTTTGACATTGCTGCCCCTTATTGCCTGCTTCAGGAGGCTCCAGCAATGCAAATGCAACAGAAGCCTGATTTATTCTTGGAAACAGTTCCACGAAACCAAGCAGGAAGGAATTTAGAAAGGAATATAGCAGCTATATAGTATCTTTTGTCTTCTTCTTTTTTTTTTTTTTTTAATTTTTATTTTGTGGTTTGAACCCAGGTAGCCAGACTGAGTTTTACTAGGGCTTTTTTTGGTCATTTCAAGGTTCAGATGGAGGCACCTGGATTGTGTTTTGTGACTCAGGACCAGAACTGAACTTTGAATCCTGTGCCCACACATGACATTTGTGAAGCAGGAACAGAGAGAAGCAGTGGAGGTGGGCGATGCTTTGACATTACTTTGCCCAGCCTATCTACTTCAGTTTTACAGATGTGGCAACTGAGATGCAGGGAAGAGAAGAAATCTCACCCAGAGACATATGACTTATTAAAGGAAGAGTTGGGTCTAGAATATATATATATATTTTAACTATAGGATCTGCCAGGTTGTATCTAGAATTTTTGATTGCTGTTCCAGTGCGCTTTCTGCTGCTGTGTCAGGACTTAAGAATTTTTTCCCTAAGAAATTTGTCCTAAAATCCTTATCCTGTATCCCTGAGGCACCCAATGACATCCTGGTAGAGGGAGCAGCCTAGTTTTTCAAAGATACATGAATTGATGCATCCGTTCAAAGATGTATGGATTTTGGAACCAGTGAGACCTGAATTGAAATCCTAGCTTCATGCCTCAACAGCCATTTGATCTCCAGGCAATCTCTCAGATTCTCAGTTTTCTTATCTGTAAAAAGAGCATGAGGATGCCTAGGCCACAGGCATGTTTTATGGCTTAAGTAAAAGCGTGGTTATGAAGGCACCTGGGGCATACAAGCACATAACTGTTGCTCAGCATTTCTTCAAGGAATCTGAATTTGCTGGGATTACTCTGTAGCTTCCCATGTGTATACCTAGTATCCTGGTTTCTATTTCTACAACTAGAAACTTCATGGGTTACTTTTACTTCTTTGTATCTCTACAAAGCTGGACACACAATGACAGATGTTCAAAAGCCCTTGCTGGATGAAGGAATGCCACAAAGAGCTCACCCCATAGGAAGACAATGGAGGGGCAAAAGGACTTTGTGCAGTGTGAAGGAGAAGGAAAACAGGTGGGTGAGGCAGATGGGCAAAGGAACAGCTAGGCCAAGCGCTCATTTGATATTCAGAGCGAGTACTCTGCAGGGAGAGAGACTGCCTGAGGCTTCCCAGGGGAGATCTGCTGAGTCAGGCCTCTGCCCAGTGGTCAGGGTGGAGACCAGATAAAGAATCAGGGAACCCGAAGCCCCTGTGCTTTCATTATTTCCAGCCTCCTGTGCCTTCTTAGGGCCTGGGCACGTTCACAGCTCAACAAGATGTGGCAGGAAACCATGAATCAAGGGGGTGAAGGCATTAATGAAGCTGAGCTGACTTCTAGCTCTAAATTCCTTTCTCTGTGCTTCCAGGCTTGCTCTGGCCTGTTGTTTCTGCCCGGCAGAGTCTGGTGGCTGCTCTAAGCTTTGCCTTCCGAATCCCATTGCAAGCTGGATGAAAGCAAGAACAAGGTGGCTCAGCATGCATAAAGGAAAGCCAGAATCTGGAGACCAAGATTTATTGCTGCAGAGATGGGTGCCCTTTTTCTAGCGTGACTTTTATGGAAAGGGCAGTTTTCTTTGCGTGATGTTTGTCTGTAAGAGTCAGTAGGACATAGAGCAGGGGCTAGCAAACTTTTTTCTTTAAAAACCTAGATATGAAATACAGGCTTTAAGGGGCATGTGGTGTCTCCTTCAAATACTCAACTCTTCTGTTGTAGCAGCCAATGTATAGAGGCAGGCCCATACCTTGTATGATGTGTAGATGAACAGATGTGGCTGTGTTCCAGTAGAACCTCATTCATGTGCACTACAATGTAAATTCCATGTAACTTTCACGTGTCACAAAACATTAATCTTTTGATTGTTTCCCCCAACTATTTAGAAGTGTAAAAATCCACCTTGGCTTGATAGCTGTACAAAAACAAGCCCTAGGTCAGATGGCAGAAGGCAGTCTATCGACCTGCTCAGTGTACAGCGCGGCCTTGCGAGTCAGACAGGCTTGCATTCGACCCGGGCTCAGCTCTATACTTGCTCTCTGACCTTTGTTGGGTGACTTAATCTCTCTGAATCTATCCATATGTAGGGATTTCCTATCTATATATAGGGATAATAACGTCTACCTTACAGAGGGCTAGCAGGGAATAAACGAAGGTACAAAGACCCTAACATGGGCCATCTGAAGTCCTTGATAGGAGGATGTTATTATTGCTTCTCTCAACCTCATCCTCAAGAACACTAGTAGTGGAACCGAAAGCATATTCTACTCTGCACATCTACCCAGAACCTCTGAAGGCTATTTTTAAAGGCAGTCATCATAGGCTTTTTACAAAAACTGTAACGCCCTGCTTTTTGCCACAATTAACTCACCTTTTTCGTTCCAATTCACTTCAACTTAACAAATGCACAAGGCTCTTTGCACAAGGCTCAGAGTGTAGCAGGTCCGGAAAGTGAAACTTGACACAGTTCCTGCCAACAGAGAGGGAGATAAGATGCAAAGTCAAACAACCATAAATCAGAAAAGCATGTGGAATAAGACCTCGAAGAGAGGCAATCATGGCTCCCAGGCCCTGTACTGAATGCTTTCTTTATATATGTTGATCTGATTATATAACCCCATGAGGAGGGGACTGTTATGATTCCCCTTTGATAAGTGGGAGAATGGAGATAGGGAGATCATGAAGGTCCTTGCCATAAGTCACGCTAAAGTGAGCGGACAACAGAGATTCAGACTGGGCTGATGCAGGCGCCAGAGCTTTCCCCACTGGCTTCAAGTGTCCCTGGAGCTCAGGAAGTCCATCCTGGCTCCGATGGCTGGGAAAGTGTCACAGAGGGGGCAGCTTTCAAGCTGTCCGTGAAGCCTGGGGAGGGTTACTCCAGGCGTGGATGAGAGTCAGGATGGGAGGATTCAGTCCCAGAACAATGTGAGCAAGTATCCTGTGGTGGGAATGTGGAATGCTCCAGGCGTGTTGGGGGAACAGCAAGCAGCGTGGGAGTGTACGGTGCATTCCGTACCAGTGTCCTGTCCCTCCGTGGACCTCTGGATGCCTCAGGGAGGGGCGGGGGAGAGGCAAGGGCTGATGACTTCACCAGACTCACAGGAACTTCCTTGCAATGAAGTATGACTTTCTCATTTTAAAACAATTTGCCAGGCAGAGTATTCAACTCTTCAAGCCTGCTTTTCTGTCCATAACTCCTCCCCCAACTTCCAGAAGCAGCTTTCCTAGTGTGAAGGAGATGCTAAGTGAGGTCATAAAAACAGTGCTGGGCATAGAAGTGGCACATGTCCCAACAGGCACTGTGACCCCAGGCTGGTCACTTACCCTCTCTTGCCTCAGTTCCTGCAAACGTAAAATTAGGAGTTCGGTGATGCCTGAGTGCTTTCCAGTTATAACCTTCCATATCATGGCCTACTAAGCCTGTCTCAGTCAGGGAAGCAGCCTGATGATGCCACTTTGTAGCAACATTAAACAACCGCAATTCCTGGACTCGATGGGGGCTGGGATTCGAATTTTGAGCCTTGAACTTGTCAGTTGCTCCTTAGATAACTTGTTCATTACTGGAGTTCATGGGAATCCATGTTCTTTGCCCATCCATCCACCAACATGTCAACTTTTAATTAATTCATTTATTTATCTACACTCAGTCCCTGGAGCCAGACTGCCTGAGTTTGAATCCTGGCTCTGCCAGCTCTGTGATCATGGTCAAGTTACAGAACCTCTCTGTGCCTTAGTTTCTTCTTCTGTAAGACAGTGATAACAGTAGAATCTGTCTTACAGGGTTGCGAGGGTTAATTCGTTCATACGTGTATGCACACATACACATATAAAATATCAAGTGCTTAAAACCACTCATGGCATGTAGTAAACATGATATAAGTGTGCACTGTTGCTGTTATTATTCAAAGCATGTTTTAAGTAGGTAGTGTGTGCTGGATGCTCTGTTAGGAGCTTTTTCTATGAAACATGGCGCTCTTCCCTACTGCCTTGCAAGGTAGGTGTTATGATCCTGCTTTTCTTACGAGGAAAAGAAGGATTGAATAGTTGACATGCCTTGTCTGAGATGTGGCACAGACCAGGCTGCAGAGGACAACTAGACACGTCAGTAGGGCCCAGGAGGGAGCAGGCTGGAAAGAGCGGGCAGGTCACTCTGCCTGCCCTGTCACCTAACAGCCAGCTCACTTGGCTCCCCGCTCTGCTGTTCGGTTCTTGTGCCAACCCAGATTCCTGCTGATGTCTTGTCAGAACTGGGTAATCTGTCAACACATGAGAGTCATTTGCAGTGACCGGGTAGTGATTTGATTTAGAAGCAGGGGAGGCGAGCTTGGATACCAGAAACCTGCTGCTCCATTTGGGAGCTGCCTTTCAGCCTGGCCAAATGGGAAACTTTCTGCTTAGAAACAGTCAGGGGCATTAATACTCAGATGAGTGAAGACACACATGTTTCCACTAAGGTCCCAGGCAGATTAGATTGATTATGCCGCACTGTAGTGCAATTTCCTCTTGGTTTTTATTTCTTTGGCCTAATGTTTTGCAGATGGTAAGCCCTGCTCACTGAAAATATGGAAACAATAAAATAGAAATACGAGACATTTGGATATCACTTGAGCTGAAACTCGACACTGCAGGTCTGATTGAAAATCCACCAGGCCTCTTTCAAGACCCTTTACCCTGGCTCCGTGTTTGTTTCAGGAGGCTCCTGACAAAGTTGCCCGGGCCTCCCCAAATCCTGCTATTGTTAGCTCTTGCCCGGGCTACCTGCTTGCTCCTCACCAGAGATATTCAACCAGATGATTCTTACCATTAAAGTCCCAGGATGCGTGTACACGAGCACATACATGCACACACACACACACATACCACAGATGCACCACACACATGCATGCACATAACACACATCACACATGCACACACACCACACATACAGTGTACCACATATGTATGCACATACACACAAATGCATACACATACATACATGCCACATGCATACCATGCAGCACAAACCACACACATGCATGTATGCACACACCACACATTCACCCCCCCACACAAACACACATGCCTTTTAGGTGCTGCCCAAGACTCCCCTTCTGGCTTTAAACTCCTTATGGAGAACTTTCTGCTGTCCAGAAAACCTTTCCTCTTTCTTTTTCTTTTTCTTTTTTTTTTTTTTTGAGACAGAGTCTCTCTCTGTCACTCAGGCTAGAGTGCAGTGGTGTGATCTTGGCTCACTGCAGCCTCCGCCTCCCAGGTTGAAGCAGTTCTCCTGTCTCAGCCTGCTGAGTAGCTGGGATTACAGGCGCCACCATGCCCAGTTAATTTTTGTATATTTAGTAGAGATGATATACAAACTCCTGACCTCAGGTGATATGCCCGCCTTGGCCTCCCAAAGTGCTGGATTACAGGCATGAGCCACCGTGCCCGGCCACTGGAGTTTCTCTTTCATAGTTTCCATGGGACAAAGCACCCTCCTCTGTCCTTTGAGCTCTATCTCCTTCCTCCTCCAGAGCTCAGTTCCCAGAGCACCTCCTTCAGAAAGTCCTCCTCATTTTCCCCATCTTTTGCTAGCCTTCTTTTGCTCTAATAGCCTGTACCTGTTTTAAAGTCTGCTGTCAACACAGAGATGCAACTTTCTTAGTTTTGGGATGCCTTCGCCGTTCTCTAGGCCCTGCTGCACTGGAGCCTGGAGCCGTCACTCCTCTATACTTCTGGCGATTTCCACATTGATTGCATATTCCAAGGCAACTTGGATCTCCACAGTGTCATCAGGGACTGATTGGAATTCTTGAAACCCTCTTCCCCACCCCACTCTCTGACTAGAGCAATTTTAGTTTAATCAAACCTCAAGACCATATTTTTGCCTGTTCCCTTTAATGATTAACTTGCTTCGAGGAATCCAAGAGAACCCAGACACAGTGACTGCTGACCTAGTTACTGACCCATCCTAATGACGCCTCTCCCGGGGGTTCATCCTCCGGCCTCTGGCCCATTTAGTGTGAGAAAGTGAACTCCTATTGGGCACTGGTTTTTCTTCTCAAGCCAGGTGGAAATATTGGCCCTTCACCCTACTTCTCATGGTGGTTTGGTGTATAAAGGTCTATAGAATAGAAAGATTATGCTGGCTTTGCTTTGTTTTAGGTTTTGTGTTTTAATCTTTTCAAACTCCAGGTTTTAATCCCATTGCTTTCAAGTCCTGATCTTGTCAAGGAAGACGCCATCAATTGTTGTACAACTCCAAACCATCTGGGGCTTATCAAGCTGAGCTGAGGATGCTAAGGGGACCTCAGCCTACAGCGGAGGGCGAGGCAAAGGCGTGAGGCAGCCAGCTCTCCTGCATGGGTGCCATGTGTTCTCTGCAGGCTTGTTTCTCCCAGTATCTCTAAGGCATTCCTGGGTCATTGCTCTCTCTATTTATTCGCAAGGGCTGCCATAAAGAAGCACCGTGGACTTGGGGGCTGAACAACAGAAATCTATTTTCTCACAATTCTGAAGGCTGGAAGTCTGAGATCCAGGTGTCAACAGAGTTGGTTTCTTCTGAAGCCTCCCTCCCCGCCTTATAGATGGCTGTCTTCTTCCTGTGTCTTCACATAGTCTTTTCCTCCATACATGTCTGTGTCCAAATTCCCTCTTCTTACAAGGACACCAGTCACAGTGGGTTAAAACCCACCCTAATGACCTCATTTTAACTTAATTACCTCTTTAAACACCATATCTCTAAATACATTCACATTCTGAAGTACTGGAATTTAGAACTTTAACGTAAGAATTTTGGAGCCAGGCACGATGGCTCACGCCTGTAATCCCAGCACTTTGGGAGACCAAGGTGAGTGGATCATGAGGTCAGGAGTTTGAGACCAGCCTGGCCAACATGGTGAAACCTTGTCTCTACTAAAAATACAAAAAATTAGCTGGGCACGGTGGTGGGCACCTGTAATCCCAGTTACTTGGGAGGCTGAGGCAGGAGAATCACTTGAACCCAGGAGGCAGGGGTTCCAGTGAGCCAAGCTCGTGCCATTGCACTCCAGTCTCGGCAACAGTGCAAGACTCCATCTGAAAAAAAAAAAAAGAATTTTGTGGGGGTGAGGAACACAGTTCAGTCCATAACATTTTCTGCTTTTTGAATACACACTGCCTAGTTTTAGGGCACTCTGCACCTTAACATAGCCTTCCTAGGGGATATCACCTCTTCTGTAACCTGTGAGTAAGAATACTAATCTCTTGAGATTGTTAATGCAGGTTGACTGCATGCAAGGCTTAAGTGCTTAGAAAATGTTAGAACCATTTAAGTCAATACAAATGGTGATGATAATGATGGTGATGATGATGAAAATGAGCACCATTATTATTTACAGATGTCTTGATCATAACCAATTTTTTTTAATAGCACCTGGTGGTCATTTTGCTTGTATCACTTTCATTTACTTCTTTCTTTCCAAAAGAGACTTGAGTGCGGCTGCCCAGCTTCCCAAGACTTAGGCTGAAGCCACTCTCTGAGCCTGTTGTGAGGATTTGAAAGCGTTCTGGCAGGAGAGGGCCTGGGCCTGCCCACCACTCCCATCTCTTGGTAACCAGGAAGCCCCGGGGGTCCCTTAGTCACAACTCACTCAGGCATCGCTTTTGACCTTGACACCTTTCCCTGCACTGTGCCAGGTGCCTGGGGCACTGCCAGCTCTCCCAGCTTGTCAAGCTGATTCTCTTCCTTCACTCAAATGACTGGGGGAACCCCATCTCCCCTCCAGCAGGGAGTCTCCCAGGATTGATCACAGGAAAGGTGCTATGGGCATATAGCTCTGTCATCCCCCCACCCCATACACATCCATGCTTGGCATGCACTCCAGGCACCTTCTAATAGAGGCATTCAGCCCAGTATTTTCCTTCCGCCCCCAAGCATCCATGTGTTCATTTAGGCCAACATTTAAAAAAAATCTTCAATTATGGCCGGGCACAGCGTTTCATGCCTGTAATCCCAGCACTTTGGGAGACTGAGGAGGGCAGATCATGATGTCAGGAGATCAAGAACATCTTGGCTAACATGGTGAAACCCCTTCTCTATTAAAAATACAAAAAATTAGCCAGGCGTGGTGTCAGGCACCTGTAGTCCCAGCTACTCAGGAGGCTGAGACAGAAGAATCATTTGAACCTGGGAGGTGGAGGTCACAGTGAGCAGAGATTGTGCCACTGCACTCCAGCCTGAGTGACAGAGCAAGGCTCTGTCTCAAAAAAATAAAATCTTCAATTATAAGTCTAAGTTCATTCGTCGTGCATTACATGTACATAAACATGCCCAAGCAGTCATGCTTATGCACGTTCTCTCTCTCCTTCATCCTTTGTCATGCTTCTGTGCCTTTGCATCTGCATTTCTCGGTCTGGAAGCAAGTCTTCTGCCTTGTTCCTGGCTGAACGCCTGTCCTAGTCAAGCCTGGATCAAGGCCCTGGGAGATGCATCACTGACCCCCGGCAGAGCCAGGACTCTCTTCTTTGATGGCTTTCTTGCGCCTTTGGTGGCAACTTGTTCGTACTGTGACTGTCCATTTGTGTGGCTTCCTCGGCTGGCCTGGAAGCTCCTCAAGGGCAGGGATGATGATTCATTCAAGTTTGCATCCCCAGTGCCCAGCACAGTGCCTGGTTATAGGTGAGTGAAGCCAGAGAGGAGGGCTCTGGGATCCCGCCATGCTCATGCTGGGCAGTGCCTTTCATGGCATTTTCTGTTTGGCCTCACCTCTTCCTTTGCCCTGTTTTTAGCCTAATTCCTTTCAAGGCTCTGGCATGGACTCTGAGCTCATTTTCATGATTGCCTTAAATATTTGGGGCTGTTGGCATGCCAACACGGGGACCCATGCTAAGGAGGGAGAGGAATTCTCCAGCTCTCTGGGTCCTGCTGAAACACAAAGAATGTGCCAGAGGCAGGGGAGGTTCTGAGAAAGTGTCAGCTTAGGTCGAACTAAATTGCTTTTTTACCTGGCTTAAGGAGCTAGGAATTTGGGTAGAAGACAAGAAAGTGAGTGGACACAGAGGCCTTAGGGGGATACAGTGGGGGCAGGGAGGGATGGCATTCCCAGAAGCCCAGGAGGAACCTCAGATAAAAGTGAAAGGGCAGCAGCAGGACAGATGTGGAGATGCAGTGTCTGTGCCTGAAAATGACCAGGGGCCCCCTGAGTAAATGCCTGGACAAGGGGCGTCCCAGGAGCCACTTTTGCAAAGCAGATAGATGGGAGGAGACTCAGGAAGTCTTGTCATGGAAGAACTAGAACGCCACAAACATGAGCTCATTAGCACAGGGAGGGGGCTCAGAAGCCACCTCATTCAGCCTTACCACTTTATAAACAAAAAAACAGAAGCTCATAGGTGACCAAGACCACATAGCTCATGGTGGTAGTGCCAGGACTGGAACCCAGGTCTCCTGTTCTCTTTCCCAGGCTCCTATCCCCTCCAGGCTGGAGAGAAGCTAGAATTAGGCCCATTTTATAACACCCAATAGGTGTTATACACATAATAAGAGCCTGACTTCTGCTTGGTGGGTTTTGTTCTATTTCAGGCATAGTGTTAAGTGGTTTACATGTTTTATCTTATCTCAGAGCAGCCTTAGGAAGTAAGGCTTTATCTCCATCTTAAAGATGGGGAAACCGAGGTTCAGAGGCTAAATGATTTGCCTTGAATCAACCACCCACTGAGCAATGAGGCCCAGATTCTAATGCAGACTGTCATTCTGGAGCTCAAGCTTTTAACAATTTTCTAAAATATGTCTTGCCTGGCCTTTATAGATCTCAAGAAACTGGATCAAAATATAGATGGTCTTGGCCGGGTGCAGTGGCTCATGCCTGTAATCCCAGCACTTTGGGAGGCCAAGGCAGGTCGATCACCTGAGGTCAGGAGTTCAAGACCAGCCTGGCTAACATGGTGAAACCCTGTCTCTACTAAAAATACAAAAATGAGCTTGTGGTGGTGCGTGCCTGTAATGCCAGCTACTCAGAAGGCTATGGCAGGAGAATTGCTTGAACCTGGGAGGCAGAGGTTGCAGTGAGCCAAGATTGTGCCACTGCACTCCAGCCAGGGTAACAAAAGACTCTGTCTTTAAAAAAAAAAAAAAAAAAGATGACCTCAAATTTCTAGATTAAAATGCAACATCCCAGCCCTCCTGACTGTGAGACTTGAGGCAGGTAGGTGTGGGCATCTCAAGGAAGTGAGGAATTTTTCTTCCATGAACATTCTTCAGTCCAAAACAGGCCAGTGGTTATGGGTGTGGAGAGGGACAGAGGACCACAGCTGGGGCTACTGACCCAAGAATAGGCTTTGAGATGCGGCAGCCCAAAAGAGCTGTCCAGAGGAAGGAGATGGAGATTCTTGACTCACTTTGCAGGTTGGCTGCTGGCTTTAGAGTTCTCTTGCCTGAAAGTGGATTCCTAAAGGAGGAAAGCAGCCCTAAAATCCACAGCATCTTCCATTTGCACAGCAACTTCCAACTCGCAGGGTGCTGCCCCATATCTTCTCGTTGGATTCTTATAACATGAAGGCAAGGTTATCATTCTCACTTTAGGTGAAGACACTGACTCAGAGAAGTTAAGTGACTTGCTCAAAGTCACCCAGCTGGCTAGCAGCAGTGCCAAGGCTGGAACCTAGGTCTCTTGAGTCCTCCATGGAAATCCTTTATCTTGACACAACTGCCCCCGGACAAAGGAACCAATAGAGATGCTGCTAGGGGTTGCCTTGTTGTCTGTGGGGATGTGATCCCCATCACAACTCTAGGCTTGCCCTGGCTGGACTGTAGAAGATCCTGTTGACTTTGGCACTCATTGGTTTAAGAAAGGCCACACAACACAATTCTAGCTTATAAGGCAAGAATGGGGGTCTGCTGAACAGCCTATG